TAAGCCCAAGAGTTGGAGGTTGCTGTGAGCTGTGACACTACAGCACTCTACAAAGGGCATGGTTGAGACTCTGTCTCAAAATAAATAAATAAACACTTTAAATGTTGCTTTATTGCTTGTTTTTTTTTCCTTTTTTGAGGCAAGGTCTTGCTCTGCTTCCCATTCGAGAGTGCTGTGGCATCAGCTTAGTTCATAGCAACCTGGGCTCAAGCAATCCTCCTGCCTCAGCCTACCAAGTAGCTGGGACTATAGGTAGATGCCACCATGCCTGGTCAATTTTTTCTATTTGATGGGGTCTTGCTTTTGCTTAGGCTGGTCTCAAACTCCTGAGCTTAGGCAGTCCTCCCACATCAGCCTCCCAAAGTGCTAGGATTATAGGCATGAACTACCATACCTGGCCACTTGGCCTTATTTTTTCTTTTTTATTTATTTATTTTAGACAGTCTCATGTCACCTTCAGTAGAATACCATGGTGTCACAGCTCACGGCAACCTCGAACTCTTGGGCTTAAGCGATTCTGTTGCCTTAGCCTCCCAAGTAGCTGGGACTATAGGCGCCTGCCATAACTCTTGGCTATTTTTTTTGTTGTTGTTGCAGTTGTTGTTTAGCTGGCCTGGGCCAGGTTCGAACCTGCCAGCCTGGGTGTTTGCAGTTGGCACTGTAACCACTGTGCTACAGGCATTGAGCCACACTTGGGTCATTTTTAACAACAACAACAAAAAGAAATTAGGGCATCAGGGAGAGTGGAGATTAACAACATAGGTCTCTCTCATTTCTCTACACTGTTGCCTCCTGATTATGCTTTTAATTCCTAGGCCACTGCGGAACAAATTCGACTTGCACAGATGATTTCGGACCATAATGATGCTGACTTTGAGGAGAAGGTGAAACAAGTGAGTGTAGCACTGTTTTGTTGTATGCTGTGGTGAAAAATATCAGAATTAAAGCATAATTAAGTAACACAGTTGTCCACCAGGACATTTTCTACTAACATTGTAAAGGAACTGTGATCTGAAATATAATAGGTCAGGGCAATAAACAAATGCTTTTGCTGTCTGATTTATTATACCCCTTTGGATATGGGGGTATATAATTTGTTCAAAGATATTTTAATTTTAATCTCTTTTTGAATGACTTTATTGATGCCATTTTACAGCAACGTTGAGTAGTTGTAGATCAAGAAAATGTGGAAATTCATGGTATGCTGAAATTGATGTGTTTGATGATTTATTGATTGCTTTGTAAATACTTTTGATCCGAGCCCTAAGCCACAAGTGTTAATATTTTGCTTTTGAGGTCGTGGTGGCTCACACCTGTAATCTTAGCACGCTGGGAAGCTGAGGTGGGTGGATTGCCTATGCTCACTGGTTCCAGATCAGCCTGAGCCAGAGAGAGAACCCATCTCTAAAAATACCCGGGCGTTGTGGCAGGTGCCTGTAATCCCAGCTACGCAGGAGGCTGAGGCAAGAGAATATCTTGAGGCCAAGAGTTTGAGGTTGCTGTGAGCTGTGACACTATAGCACCCTATGGAGGGTGACAAAGGGAGACTCTGTCTCCAAAAAAAAAAAAAATCTTTTTTTGCTTTTGGAAATAGAATACCAAAATTCTATATATGCTGCTTTTTTGGGAGGGGTGGCTTTCAGTATAAACCGGGAAATCTGGTAGATAAATTGTTAATGTTTTTGTTTTTATTTTATTTTATTCTTTTACTGTAGTATGAGAATACATATTTTGTTTTTCAACCTGATTCTTTCAAACTCAGCTGGTATCTTTTTCCTTCACGTAGTTTCCTTTCATTGGGGGTATAAGCTTTAGCTCATTCATGATGGTTGCTGATTTTTCTTTTTCAGTTAATTGATATTACAGGCAAGAACCAGGATGAATGTGTGATTGCTTTACATGACTGCAATGGAGATGTCAACAGAGCCATCAATGTTCTGCTGGAAGGAAACCCAGATACGGTAGAGTGCTAATAAAGTGTTCTAGAACGTGGGTCCTGGGTTGGGAGGCTAATAATGTTCTAAAAATAGCAAGTGGAGTAACTCCCCTTAAAGGGGAGTACCTTATTCTCCAAGTAGCATAGGGATTTCTTGGAGATTTTTGCTTTAGGTTGCAAATACTTAAAATTTCTGTGTACTGTAGTCTCTTCATGTGGCTAATAGCTGCAGGAGAAGACAAGTGAAGTCAGTCTTTTCCAATTGGCCTGGAATAAATTATTCATTCCAGGCCAGGGACTGTTTTCAAGGGTTGGGTTAGACCAGTGGTTCTCAACCTTCATAATGCCGCAACCCTTTAATACAGTTCTTGTGGGTCGCCACCCAGGTTGAGAACTGCTGGGTTAGACTGACTTTGAGTTGCTATATAATAGCCTTGGTCACTAATAGTGGAAGATTTCTGCTCACCATTGTTGAACAGAGGCACAACTTATTCTAAAATTCTGAATTCAGGACATTGCTATCAGTATTCACATTACACAATATTATTTCACCACATGAGCTTACTTCTCTTGAGATGACAGAGAAATAAGCTTTATATATAGTCTGTTGATCATCCCTGGATGTGGTAGAGAATATCTTGGAGGACCTCTTGCCCTGGAACTTTTAGACAAATTGCTTTTTACTTCTTCCCACATAATAAGAATTCCGTTTCTATGCTTGTCTTTGTACCAAATTATAGTTGTCTTAAGAATAGGGACACTGCCTTATTAACCTTTGGGTTATTCCTATAGTACTTAGTAGAGAATTTTGTTATTTTTTTAAAAGCAGTATATCATTTTGAAATCATTTTCATTTACTTGATCTTAGACTGGTGGTCTTTGGTCAAGATAGATATCAGAATTCACGTCACAGCTAAATGCTAAAGGTTTGTTAGCTTTCTTGGGACAAAGGGAAATAATAGTGGAATACTTTTTAAATCATTGAATTTAAATTTGTGGAATATTTTTTCTTGAAAAATAGTATTTGGTAAAATAAGATACTTTTTTATGTTGAGTTAGAGAAACAAATTTTATAGCATGTTGACCATCCCTGGAGGTGGTAGGGGGATATATCTTGGAGGACCTTTTGCCCTGGAATTCAGACAGTTGTTTGACTAGTTATAGTCTAGAATAAATTTTATTTTGCTGACCATGTTTGAAAATTTGCTATCTCAATAATCAACATAGAATGCTTTTGGTTCATTTTGAGTTTACTGTAGAATAATTGTCTCAAGACAATTTTTTTAGGGGAAATAAGTGTGGCTACTAATACTTTTTTTTTTTTTTTGAGCCAGAGTCTAGAGCTATCACCCTGTGTCGTGCCTCACAGCTCATAGCAACCTCAGACTCCTGGGCTTAAGTGATTCTCTTGCTTCAGCCTCCCGAGTAGCTGGGACCACAGGTGCCTGCTACAATACCCAGCTATTTTTTTGTTGCAGTTGTTGTTTAGCAGGCCCAGGCTGGGTTTGAACTGGCCACCCTTGGTGTATGTGGGCTGGCGCCCACTGTGTTGCCCTTGGTAGAGTG